TTCACATCGGTGACAAAAAGGACTCATCAATAACCCTTCATGTTCAGTCATGTCAGTGAGTAGTGCAAAAATGAAGCCTTCCCATGGTGTTCAAAGGTTCTTTGGGACTAATTTTATGTTCTAGAAGGTTAATACTGATTGAAATTCTAATAGGCCTATGTAACAGGGGAAGAGTTCCATGTGCAGACGCCAGTTCCCTACAGTGACCTATTAGCCTGCCGAAAGCAAAACCATGTCCAGAAAAGTTCAATTTAAGAGGGGAAAAATCAAGTTGTTTACTTAGAAAACACTTTTTCAGAGCAGTTTCATAGGGTTAATTTGGCACGGGGTGTCAAGTGGTGTTCATATATATGGAACTCTTTCCGTAACGGGATTGCTCCTAACGAGGTGATATTCTCAGTGACACACCCTGTAGCCATATTTTGGGATTTAAGACTCCACTTTTTTCACTAAGTTTGAGGTTACCGGGGGTTTGAGGTATTAGGGGCCTGGGGTACTGTACTCCTTGTTAAAAACTTGTTTAAGACAATTTTTGATTTTAACAGGTGAAGGCCTTCTGGCACGGTAGCAAAAAGCCCAATTTTGGGTAAAATATTGCTGTCATCACACACCAGGTGCCTAAAAAGTGTTGACAGACAAAATACAAGTACATTGTACCATGAAAATATCTTCAATAAAATCACCTACCAGCTTTTCCACATTATCAACGGTGAACTAATGTGACTTCAGTGGCACTCACAGTCATTTCTTTGACTGAAATGCTGTGCTATGCTTCAAAACAACTATGCAGACCAACAAGCAGTGTGTGCATTGGGATGCTGAGCAAATGTTTTATGAGACATCTGCAAAGTCTGCGCATATATTGGCGTCGATTTGCACTTGTACTGAGACTGCACATTACCATTCACAAAATAGTCATTGAAGCATCCACATTGTTCTGCAGTTTGATTAATGTCCATAAGTGTAGAGTTAAAGTCGTTGTCCGTAAAGCTTGGTGCACAGTAACAACTTCATTTTACTCAAATGGGACTTTTCACTGGAGTGCTAGTACAACTGTCAAAGTAACATAGCGCTTTAAAAAGGAGTACAGTGCCCCAGTTACTACCTCTAGTATGTGTCTTAATTCAATTTCAGTTCTCAATTCAAATTTTGAAGAGGTTTCTGCAGCACTTTGCACGAGAGTGAAATCTGGTGATTTTATCTGAAGGCAGGCACTGTTTGGTAATCTGTGGTCTGATTATGGAGAGAATATGGAGACCATTATATATTATGTACATAATAAGTAGAGAGTGCCCTTTTGACAGTTAATGCCACACAAAGGTCGTTTGACATTCTGTGTCATGTACCAGTCTATTTGTTGGCTAAGACCTTGGTATAAGCTCTTGGTCATGCCATTATGTTTCTTTTTTTTAAAACAACCATCAATTTATTTCCCTATATCAGATGGATTTGTATCTACCCAGCATACATCAACAGTAAAAAGACACTCCCAGAAGGAAGGAAAATTCCCAAGAGCAAAGCAGTTGACAATCCTACAGCCAATGAAATCAGAGATATATGCAATGCTGCTGGCTTACAAGTTGCTTTGGAGGTAGTGTATGTGAAATATCCTTAGGTGTTGTTCCGATGTAAAGAGACCTGTGCATGGTTTGTAGTGCTCAGTCAATTCGAATAATTCACTATTCGAATATTCGACCTTCAATTTGATCGAATTTCTGGATATTCTGTGGCACCGACAAACCATTTACAAAATCAGTTGCAAAAATGCACTCAGTTGTACATTACAATAACTATAACAGCTTCTCACTCCTAGGACTGTCTCCAGCCACGATAAAGCAAGACTGAGGAGAACAACAGTACTTCTTGCCCTGTTGAAAGTGTTTATTCCTTTTAAATTTTGTAATGAATTTATTTTTGAATCATAGAATGCGTTATTCTCTTGGCTTTTCATTTCAATCTGCTTGTAACAAGCCTCCATTGTGTAATTTTTTTTTCATTTAAAACAAGAAAATTCTTCCTTTCTTTTGATTAATTTTGCATTTGAATATTCAAATTCAGAAAATAGTTTTCAAATATTTGATAACCAATCAAATGATCGGATATTCAGCACAGCCCTAATGGTTTGTGCTGTCCTCCTGGGACTAATTCTCTATTTCTGTCAAATGCTCAGTGTCCGCACAGTAATTTACAGTGAGGTTGTCCATTTTAAAACAAAAATGGGTGAAATATCTTTTTGTTCCATATCCAAAGCATGTGATTATATGATGACATACCGAGCTGTAGGAAAAAAGCCAAGCCTGCTTTTAAGGTTTTAGGCCCAAATGTAGCTTTCACATTGAAGTTTGCTCACCAAGATTTTTTTGTTCACTATCAAGACAGGCCCAAGGAATAATAGTTTAGGTAAAAAAATTGTTTCTCTAGTTAGTGGTCTTCTAAATTTCATATTTCTACAATGTTTAAATCACACATTCGTTCATTTGTATATTTTCCAATTTCCTATCCAGGCTGGAAAGTGTTACCCACGAGACCAAAACAGAGACCCATTGTATCGGGGAAGGGTCAGAGTTCAATTGAAGAATGAAAACAGTACACCAGTAAAAGAGGAATTTCCAAGCAGTAAGTTACCAGTGACTTAACTTTCCCCAAGCCTGCTCCAGAAATTTTACTTACACCATGCAGAATCCATCAACAATTGATGATCCATAGTAAATACTAAGCCAAAAGTGTATTAATGGGACTAAATAAACGTTATATGAACGTTACTTCTTACCTTACATTCTTACCTGAATACCCCACATTGGTCAAAATATGTAGAAGTTTTGCAGTATTTCAATGGACGCAGGGCACAGAGATGCCAGTCACTCTGGTCATTGTTTTATTTTTGTTTGTTTTTTATCACATTTTTCTACTGTGCTATTTACATTTTAATGTCATTAAGTTTATTTTGTTACAAGAATAACATAACTAACTTGTAGAACAGACTTTTAATATTTACCGTGCATGATTGAGGCCTTGTTTATGTTGTGACAGGACTTAGCTGAACCTATTACAATGTTGTGGGACAGGTTTTTGCCACATGCTGCTAGAAGTTACCAAACAATCATTTCATTGATTTCATTTAGTACAACGAATGTACCATTAACCCCTTCGCGCCGGGAGACGGTAAGAGCCGCCATAAAAATTGAGATCCTCAGCCCGCTTTTCAGCTATTATTCTCGGCCCACGCTTGAGCGAACATGGTGAAAGAAAGCAGACCCTGGCTCTTGTATATATGGTGATTGGCCTTTGTGTGTAGCCTAGAAATGAAAAGACGGCATTTACATCATAATCACCAGCTCCACAATAGTCCCCACTTTGAAAAGAGGCAACAGAAATGTGGAAGCGTGAGTAGAGCCGCATGCCACCGAACAATCAGCCTTTTCACTGTGTAATTCAAAGCGTGCAGAGCGCGCAGGGCCACAAACCGAGAATTTGCGGTTTGGCAGATGGCCTTCATGGCTAAGCAAGGCTGGAATTCTTGGAGTCGGCTTTCGGAAAAAAATTACCGTCGTCAAGGGGTTAAGATACAGCAGTGTTGCATTTTAGCCATTTGCAGAAATGGTTACGGGATAAAGCTTAAAAACATATTGGAAGCGCCAAACCAACACATTTCGTTGACAGTTTGTGAAAACAGTTGCTGGAATAAGAACTTTGATAAACTAGAATTGTAGAAAGGGCACAAAAATACAGATTTTAAAATCAGAAGAGAGCACCCAGCTCACTAGATGTATGTTGGAAATTTTGCTTAAGATGTTTAACCAGTTTGGATCTATGCAATTTGAATTTGAAGGAAAAGCACTGCTATTGTATGTCAGCGAGATGATCCCCAAACTGAAGACGAGACAACAGAAGCAAGGGGGTGGGGGTGAGTCAGCATCAGCTGGCGGCCAAGACAAAGGAAAGAAAAAGAAGAACAAGAAGAGATGACGATGCCTCAGCCTATATATCAGGTTTTCTCTTGGAAGTCTGTCACTTTTGCCGAATGAACTTTTGGGTTCATGTCTTGAATTCCATCTCGTATCACCATTTACAAATCATGCCCAGAGTTTTCAGGAGACCACTTGTTAGTTGGCTTCTAATGTGTGAATATGTACAGGTGTTGTTTCACACCAACATGCCCTGATGAATTCCGACTTTTAAATTGCATCCGAGATATCCCAAGGGGCACCTTAACATACACTTCACATATTGATAACTAAGCAGGATAAGTTGCCATGTCAGTGCTAACAAGTTTTTATTGAAAAATTGCACTGAAAATGTCCTTATTGAGATATATTGCTTTAAATGGGTATTTGGACAAGAAAATTGTTTGAAATTAGCCCCAAAAATAGTTTTATAAAAAGTTGCCTGTTTCAATAAAATATTTCCTTCATGCTCAGAGAAAGGCCCTACAAATATTTTCAAAAATCACTTTTTTGCTGTGATGAGCTATCAGGACTGAGCCAAGGATTTGCACTTGTCCATCAATATTGTTGAGGATAAGCAAGGCAGGGAATCTGGTATTTGACGCAATCTGGTATTTGACGCAATCTGTGAAACCAAGGTCACGACTATAGCAATAATGGAAATTTTGGAGATCAAAGAAAATGCTGTTAGTCAAAAGGCTGCCAGATCTAACAAAATCCAAAAAGTCTTTTTTTTTTAATGGTGAACAGAAGACCAGTTTGTCTGTTTTTTGTTATTTATCAATGGTAAACCTGTGAAGAGTCTTTTTTTTTTAGTGGTGAACAGAAGACCAGTTTGTCTGTTATTTGTTATTTATCAATGGTAAACCTGTGAAGAATTGGCTGGCATTAAACATTACTTTTAGTAGGTTTCTTGGCATTTTCGGTGAGTTAAGAAAGCCTGAAAGGGATTTTCAAGTAACCTATTTCATTGCAAACTGATTGCTACTCTTAACAATTGACAAGATATTGTTGAGATAACTTCAGGCTTGTGCATACATTATGCCTATATTGAAGAAATGCTTTTTCACATTCTTCCCGGTTGAAGGAGCATAAATTGTGTGCATTTAACCTGTGTATGAGCATAGTGCATGTTCCTTCCACCATGATTAGAAGCTACTACTAATTGCTTCCTGTTGTGGCTACTGGGTAGTCAGTAAACTGGTATTTAGGAAGCTAGGACAAAATATTTAATATGTTCTCCATGCATGGGTACCACACCTCAGCAGCAACAGAGACTGAGGCTGTATTGACACTTGGATGCTGTCACCACCATGGGCAGGTGTGCAAAGACCTAATGGGCTTGAATATTTCTAGATGAAAATTGGACCTCCAAAAATTAATTTGTTGCTCTCAGATGACTGACCCAAAAATGTGGAATTCTCCCTTCAGCTTTTTTTTTTTTTTTGAAATGCCAGTTATTCTGCATTTCGTTACAAGAAAGTTAATTTTATCGTATACATG